CGAAACGACGAAACGACATAACGAAACGACGAAACGACATAACGAAACGACGAAACGCCATGACGAAATGACGAAACGACAAAACGACGAACCGATGTGGTCGATGACGAGTCGGACTCGTAAAACGACGAGTCGAAGAGGCCAGCCGACGAATCGAACTGACAATACGACGAAACGAACTGAAAGTTCGACGAGTCGAACTCGGAAAACAACGACTCGACACAAAGAAACGACGAAACGCCATAACGAAACGACGAATCGAACATTTTGTCCAGGATCTACCTTCATACCGGAGCCTTTCTAAGCTGACGTTTCGAGCGTTAGCCTTCGTCATTCGCTCTGATGAAGGGCTAACGCTCGAAACGTCAGCTCAGATTAACTCTTTAGAAGACTAATTTACTCAACTCAGTTAATGAAACCAAATTATCTTCTTCTACTACCCCACCGACGCAGCACCACAGTTTCTTAAGAGACTTATCCCCTAAAATTATAACATCGCAGCGCTCCTATCAACTCTTGAGCGACGCATTTGTTATATTAGCAAGCTATTTCCGTGACACTGACAGGTTTAATTAAATACCGAACTTCTCAGGAACCGAACCCCGAAACACCTGGAATAAAATGCATGAATAGGGTCGGCGCCTGAGACAATCAACAACTGTTGCTTCAATAAAGAACGGCGTATCCGTTTTCTCGCCTGGCGTGCCCTGAAAGTATAGCTCGACTGTGGAGCGGATCGAAATGGCATTTATTCGGGCGCCGAAATTTGCAAGTGCCGAACCACAATGTGTATATCATAATAACATTTTTGCTAAAGGTTTCCTCAAAACGTAGTGGGGACGGTTAGAAACGGTCGGCGTCTGAGTCAATAGACGTTTTTTGCACTAGTTCGCTCACTCCGTGTTAGAATTTAAAGTTCGGCTGCCGAGTAATTCGAAGTCTGAGTTTTAACAAACCAAAATTCTTCGTGAGTTCATCGATTGCGATCTCTTTTTCGCTCCAGATGTCTCCCATGACCTCAAAATGTCATTAATTTTATTTTTAAACAGTGTACACTAGCTCCCAACTCATTCGAAAGCCTCCGCATTTACTTTTCAAAACGTACGTTTCGCTGTGGGTTAACACAGCCTCAGGTTCCAGATGCCAACGGATCTGTTTCTTTATTCTTTCGAATTGAAGCGGATGCCACAACAACAATACGTAAAGCTGTACAAGAGTTTAGATAAAAAAAGTCTCTGAAAAGATTTTTCCTTGGTCAATCTCACGTAAAATCTCCTCAAGTCAAGTTTGAAAGGTTCGTAGTAAACAAGGAGCGAACAAGATGAAGCCGGAAGTTGTTTGACTGATCTCTTGTAGATTTCACTTTTCCGCTGACTGAGACACATAAGAGACCAAATATATGAGCACATTTTAAATTTTACCTTACCTTCAGGGCTTTCAAAGACAATGACTGCTTTTCCATCCTTTGTCATCCAAATATCATCGACTTCTCCCCCGCCGTTTTTACTTTTCTGGAAATGTATGTGAATTTCATCTTTTGTAATTTGTCTCGGTATGTTCGATATCACCACAGCTCTAGCAAACTTTTCGACACTCAAACGTCCTAGCTGTGATTCTATTGACTCTGGATGGTCATTCATCTCTGCCATGGTGGTAAAGGCAATAAATGCGAGCACTATACTGCTCCCGTAGCTAAATTTCGCAACACAGAGTTCGGTGTTGTTCGTATCTCGTGGAAATAGAAAGAGTGGGACTAGCACCGAAATCACCAAGCCGAGGCATGAAGCCCACGGGGCAGGAAGCACTGCCGAAGTGTTTTGGGGCAAACCAAAGTTCTTGTTGAAACAGGCTGATTGTGGACTTTTTCGCTCTTGTCTGATCTGTGAAGTATTATTATTTTATTGCACCTCTCATCTAAAACCAGGTTGCTTAGGGTCGAAACGATTTCAAGGTACTTTATTTAGATGATTGAAAGGATTTTTCCGGGAATTCAGTCTGGAGATTCCCGGAATATCTACTTCCGCTTACTAATTAGGTTTCAGTTTGAGAGCGAGCCCTCAAATATTTTGATGTGTTGTGCTGCGTGGAAGACAATTTGGTAGGCTTTGAGGATGGGAGACGAGAAGTGCCCTCTCGAAAAAGATGATGTTGTCGTTAACAAGGACAATGAATCGAGAGGGATATATGTGACTGGCTTCCCTTCAAGTACAAAAGCGAATGATCTGGTGATACATTTCCAGAGACGTAAACATGGTGGCGGAGATATCGAATGTATTCAAACCACAGAAAGTTTCGCAGTCATCATATTCTACGATCGTTCAGGTATGATGAAAGCGTATGTGTAATATTTATTTCGTTCTTCGGTGACTTAGTTTGTCGCTTTCTTCAAGATAGACTCAACTGAGAGCGATCTTCATGATCAATCGTTAGTTAAATAACTTTCCGTTTGGAGCAAGCCTTTCGTTAGACTTGCCTCGTGAAATGACTTATGTCGCTTTTATGGGACTGCGTTGGCAAATAATTTGAGTAAAAAACTAAACGTTGTCTTAAATCTAAATTAAGTTATTTTTCAATGGAGATTGCCAAGAGGCATATGATATTCCTTTACATCGGGTTGATTACTTCAACGAAATGCAGAATTGATAAATCTGCTTCAATAAGCAAATTAACTTCTACGCAATATTGTAGTTGCGCTTTTCAAAGAAAAGTCGAAACGAAAATCCGGTGGATTAATTGAATATCGGTCAATCAAGAAACAAGAGTATGATTGGGATGTATCTGGCGCATGAAGGAGAAATTTGTCGACACATCCAAGAGATATGAATGCAGATCATTTAATATAAGCTATGCCACCATAGATGCCACGAACTTGTAGTTGATAACTGTTATGTCTACATGTCCACTTCTAGACTGATTAACTTCACATTCACGATTGTATGCGCGAGATCTTTTTGAATCTTCTCAAATTTTCATGTCCTCCATTCTGTGCTGTATTCGATTTACGTTTACATTAATTCAGCCTCGCTTCCGTTCATGATTCGATGTATAATCACTTCCGGTAATGGCGACGACACATGTTAGAAAATATTAAAAGTTCTGTGTTGAAATCCAAGAATATATCTCCGTTTCTCGTGCCATCCGAACACCACACATTCATAGTCAGTCGAGGAGAGTGCTCCCTCTATTAACTATGCTCCATCCCAATCAATTTAGCAGATCATACAATACTGGTCAGTATATATCATTGGAGCTTTCCCAACACAAACTCTCTCAGAGCTCAGTTCTCCATTTCAATAGTAAGTTAAAACTCGGCTTATGCTATTTTTCAAAACAAAACAAAAAGAAACAAAACCAGGCATTAGATAAAAAAACCAGGGAAATTATGTTGATACATTTTCTAATAAAGGTAAAGATAATTAAACTTTCACAAGGATTTTGGAGTAGTTGTTACTCCAGAAGAATTTTTAATTATTTTGCAGTGTACAATAATTTAAGAAAAGTTGCTCTTCTTAACTTACGTCTACTTGGTGTAATGGATAAAAATCCTTAATTCTTATCAATTGGAGATCACTCCAAAATCCTTGTGAAAGTCATCTTTACCTTAATAGAAAGTACATCTGAATTATTCTTTCAATATTGTTGTATCTCGCTTGAGTTTGTTTTGTTTCATTTCGTTTCATTCACAAAACAGAATGAGCCAATTTACTCTGCAATTCCAAAAGCATCCCATTACATTTCAAAACACTATTTGCCACAGTGGGCACTTTCCATTTGACCAAAACTTTCGAGATTTCTGGTCAGAAATTGAACAGAATGGGAAAAGTTCCGGGATGAGTTTTCAAAAATTTAGGAATACGTTTTGAGTGTATACCCTCTTGGATACGGTTGGACGTGTTCCATTTGGCCAGCGAAAATACCGACATTTTGAACCCGTGATTTTTGTTGAATGGAAAGTGTCCCTTGTCACCTAAAACCTGTCAATAAAACACCTTCATGTCAACAATATTTTATCATAAAGGTAAAACAAACATGACTTTGCAAACGTAGCCGTGTCAATTTTCAAATCCCGACAAATCCAAAAGCGCGCCATCCTAGATATAAGCTGATCGGTTTTGCACCTTTTTCAACTCCATTCGCGAAATTAGATTCTAAGAAGGCACAATTGAAAGAATGTAATTATTTTGTGTCGATACCCCACTAGGGTAAACTTTACCCGGCGGTAAACTGAAAGAAACAAAGCACTCTGATTGGTCAATTCAGGTAAAAATTACCCTCATCTGGTAAATGTTTTTAGTGCATATTGTTTTTGATAAGGGCACAATGTTTTAGACATGTGGGAATGGATACAAGTTATAGTGCTTATGAGTAGAATGATACCTTGGCTGTTATGTGGAAAATTTTCGTCCAATATGCTCTTGCTAATATTAGTGTCCAAACTGTTTCACTTACAGATGTAATTATGCAATATCCTTTACTTTGAAAATGTTTAATTCCTCTAGGAATTGCACCCTTACTGTGGACTGGTCTGACTGAATTCTATTTTATTTGAGATATTTATTTCAGTAGCAGAAGCTACTACAGTTGGCATCAGCTTTCTGTGCTTACCAATCAAATCATTATGTAATATAATTTGACTGACTTGAAGCTCTGCTAATAACTTGACATGCTCATTAGTGCAAGCAACAATAAGTGAAATGTGTCAAGTATATTAACTGCACCATTGAGTTTTTTGTATCATAATTGTACTGGCTTATGTTAATTATTTGATGAACAGTTTGTTTTTGTTTTAACTCTCAAAGGGTTAAAAACCACAACAGGCAAAATAACTGCAACAACAACGTCTGGGGTGAACAGGGAAGGTTTCCTGAATAGACCCTTCTGTAGTGTATTAGGCCGCTAAGTATAGTGGGATAAGAAAAAAACCATGTGCTTTTGATAGCGATGGCCATGTTATGTTTGCAATGAAATGAGATGAGTTAAATCTGTTTGTTTGGATCCTTTATTGCTCTTGGGATCATTACACCTTCCATTTATTACATTGCCCGACATGGCAAACAATGTACAAAATAACAACAACCAATAGGGAGGAAGGGAGGGGAAGTTGTGTTAAAGCACATGTCAGACAAGCTGTTTACAGCGCATGTCAGCAAACTCGCCCCAGGTCTTGCTGGAGTTAAATACAAAATAATAGCTATTAATTTTTACTTCACAACAGTGTCATCACACTTTTTCATATATATACCTGGTCAGGTTTATAGATATATTACTGGGCCTTGTAATTGGATACCAATTTTTTAGATTTGTGATCATTGTTGTTATACTGTACATAACTCACTAGTAAGCTTTCAAATGAGTAAGAGATTATCTCAATGGGAAGAAAAGTTGAATCCACATGCAGATCAACATGTAATGTTCTGTATGATGCACGATCCTTGCAGTAGAGAGCGCTATTTATGCAATAGGGAAAATCAGACCTGAAAAAAATCAGGCCTGTATGGGATTCGAACCACTGACCTCTGCGATACTAGTGCAGCGCTCTATCAATTGAGCTAACAAGCCAACTGGGAGCAGGCGGTTAAGTTGATTTGCAATAAGCCCGTGATGATAAATCAGATACATTGAATATATGAAGTTCATATATTTTGAACTGCGGTATTAGATACGTATGATGCACGATCTTCGCAGTAGAGAGTGCTATTTATGCAATAGCAAACGTCTATATGAAAATATATGAACTTCATATATTCATTGTATCTGATGTAATGTTCTGTTAATTATTTGTGCTATGATTAATTTCAGACAGCTGATTTAAACAGTTTGCAACCACATTTATGAGTAGCAATGCAAAGATCACTTTCACATATTACCTCAGCTTGAAAAAATGCCATCCATAACTTTTGAAAAAAAAACAAAAAAAAAACAACAAATTGATACCAATAAAATTTTTTTATCTGGAAATAAGTTTAATTTAACCTTGTGTATGCCTGCATGTAATTTGGAAAAAGCCTATGTGTTATATGAAAAAGGACCCTGTCGATGAACCTTAATTGTTACCATGAAAGCTTTGCTACATGTATAGGTAATCACATGGTTTCGAGTGCAATTTGGAATAAATAAGCACAAGTATTATTTTTTCAAAGACTAACAAAATTGCATGAGCCCATAGGGTGAGTGCAATTTGGGATCTTTGAAAAACTTTACAAGTTAGAGCTTACTTATTCTAAATTGCATGAGAAAAATCATGTGATTATGTATTGATAATATACATGAAAAAATATGAGGTAGCTTTAATCATAATTACACAGAAGAAAAAGTGCGTGCATCACATGCAAAAATAATTAATTTATTCAAACCCTGCAAGTGACATTGTGTGTTTGGTCAAAACAAATGTGTATGATCAAAATGATAAGATGAAATGAAATTTTCACATCTTTAAGGTGCAAAAAAGTTCAAAGTCCAGCCAAACAGTTCAAGGAATTGTTCAGCGAGTTTGGTAATTCTGTGAGTTTCCGAGTTTGATTATTGACCAATCAGAATGTCTGGTTTGTTACTTTCTTTGCACTGAGTTAACCGTCTTCTACACTAAATTAACTCTCACTGAATTACGTGAAAACTGAGCATTTATCTTAACCAATCAGAACTGAGTAATTTTTTCATGTATATATATTATTATCATGATGATGATAATGTTGACTGCATGTTAGTATAAAGATTAACTATGCCTTTCAAAATGGAAGAAATTCTTGTGTTTATCAATACTCTATATCATGATTTATTCTATCCCTCTAATGATTAGCATTGTTTGAGGATATCTTATGATTTCAAAAATTTGATTTGAAAACAAAATCAGAGACAGAAGATTGAGTAGCCAAGTTTTTCTACCGTGAGACTAATTTATCATGATTCTATAGGTGTTATTCAGTTTTGGCTAATTCACAGTATAAGTCTTCAGATCGTTAGGGCCATGATTTATTTGGAGTTGGGCAAGTAGCTGGCTAAATTGCCTAGTACTTAGGATGGTAATTTTTCCTTACCCTGTTAAAACTGTTATTACTTTTGGCTTGAAGAAATGGTGGTAAAAACTGTGCTTGGTGTCTGTCTCACTCAAAAACCACCAATATGTTTTCTAAATAAAGATAAAGGTGGCAATTTAAAGTCTCAATCAACATCCTTGGTTGCAATTTAACTTATCTAAGCTTATAAGTTTAAAAGACCAGAACCGTTATCTACCTGTGAGCAACCAATATCATTCAGGGCTCACAACTCTTGTCAAATCTGATAATTGGCAGTTTTATTGGAAAGAACAAGCTGTGTTGATCATCAGTTCAATGTCATATGTGATTGTGATACCATCCGTCATAACTGAGAATCTGAGTGGTGTTGTCCAGGCTGATTGCTCAGGGTTAGGGTTAGGACTGATGATCAATCTGTGACAGTGAACTCAGATAACCATCTGTAGTGTTTCTGACAGCTGTCAATCAGTATTCAGAATGCATATGCATTCTAAAGGAGAAGGAGTTACTTGTGTAGTCGGCTATGGTCTTACATGTTTATTAAATATCATTGTGTCGCATCGAAAGTCTCAGTGCTTATTAGTATAAACGCCACACCATCCTGAATCGATAGTGTGGGAATGAGCAATGTTATTTGTTGTATTTTGTGGTGACTCAGCTAAACTATTTAATACCAACCTTTGGTATGGTGAACACCTTTGGGGATGTGAAATTATGCACCACAATATAAGCTGCACTGGGTAAATACCTTCTTATGTATACTTGCACCACTCGCGATTTAGTAGCTGACCAGAAAATCTTGTTGAAAAGGAAATGGAACCTTATGTAGAACCAAAAACTTGTTAGAGAAATCTCTGAAGAAGTCTCGCCTTAAATCATATCGAAAACGAAAACCTTTCAAAGGCATCAGCTAATAAGCTATCTTTAAAGGGTGTGGCTTAATAAAAAATCCTTAACCATCAGGAAACATTACATAGCTCTCTCAGCACCATTCCTAAAATGTTTTAATCGGAGCCTTTTTTCAAAAATGTTTCAGGTATTTTTTGAACTTAGGAAATTTCACTGTTAGTCATTATTCTAGTGGCATTAACCTAAATTAATTCAGAATTATGCTGTTTCCAAACCTTAATATTCAAAGGTGTAATTTATTATTCATTATTGAGCTTCCATGCGTGAAACTCACCAGTCAATATATAAAACTGTACTTGGGTTTGCAATCCCATGCCCCTTCTAGTACAAATTAGGATGGTGAATGTTAACAGCATTTTTCTCATTTCTTAGTCGAATCAATGAATACATTTCCATTGCCGTACATTAGACAATCACTATTTGGTGTCCTCATTATGAAGAGTAGCCATGCTATTGTGATTTAGCGGTTAGTATAATTTTGAATTTTTATCATTTTGAAGATTATAGTTTTGAACTTTTGTTGTAATTTGATTTTTTCAGTTGCTGAATCTGTGGTAAAAAAGAAGCAGTTTCTCAGTCCTAATGTACCGCTAAAGGTTGAATCGTTGTCCGAGAAGGTGAAGATTGAAACAGCAAAACCTTTAGAGGCAAGTTGAGATTAATAGCCATTAGACGTATTTATGTCAAAAAAGCGGCCAACACCCTCGTCCTCCCTTAGGCACGAGCTTCAATTTCAAGATGTAGCGTTGTTAAAAAAGCATTACTAGAGCAGGGAAATTCAAAGGACACCCACGTTTGAATGTCAAGAATGTGGCAAGGGCTAGACTAAAATTAATGCTAACGAGGCTTTGGGGTGAATTTGTCAGAAATATAATTATTGGAATTCACGATTTCTTAGTTGTTCTTCATACATTTTACACATTTTCCCGTTTTTAAATGAATTTCATTCTTTCGTAGATCTTTCAGCGGGTATCGGCTTGGATAAATGATGAATTATTAGGAAACCACACCCGTAAAGAAATATTATTTGTTCTCAACAAAGTTAAAGACGAGGCCGACATTGAGTTCCACGATGCAAGTGAGGGTTTCGTACTTTCAGGGACGTTCCAACAGGTGAAACAAAGTAGAGTTTTGTTGAGCCAGTTCTTGGAAAATTGTCAGAGTTTAGATTTTGGATCGCTACTTCCCAATGGGTCACACAAGAATAAGAGGATTGCTAAAAGTTCAGATCCCACATCTCAAGAGGCTGGTGAAACAGGAGAAACTCGCCCTGGAGAGGGCTCAGGAAACAGTGTTAACTTTGAAGGCCAAGAATGCGCGGATATGCAACCGCAACAGTACGAAACGACGCCGAAGTTCTTCAGTCTGTTTGTTTGTCAAAGCACATGACAAAGAATTACAGAAAATCGAAAATGATTATGAAGTAAAAATACACCGGGATGTCGTCAACGACAAAGTTACCGTTGAACCAACTAAACTCTGCACCACTGAAAAATTCTTTGAGGGCTGTGAAGCTTTCATCACCCTTTATCAAAATGTACATAAGTGCATGAAGCTTGTTAAATTCATTCCCAGAGACCAAAAGTCACCTGTACACATTAGGCAACGTATCCGAGACGTGGGTAAGGCACAACCCTTACTAATTGAGGTCTGTGAGGACCGAAAGCACTTGAAAGTCTACGGTGAAGAAAGGTTTGTCGAGAAATATCTAGGCGATCTTCAAGAAGAGGGTCTGATTGGTCGGACAGCACAGGAAGCAGGGGCTTGGTGCAGAGATGGAACAGATGAGGATGACGAGAGTTATGAAATTGATGATCAGTTGGAACACATGATTGGTACGTATATTACATTTGAAGTATAGTACATTTGAGGTGTTCGCGGTTATTTGGAAATTCATAAACTTGATCCGACGATGTTTTTCGCAAGCACGTCCGCCCAAAAAGTGGACATTGTTAAACCGAACTGTGCACAAAACTTCGTTTGGTGATTCATTACCAGGTTGCCTCTTGTTACGCCGGTTCTGAATCTGCGTTTCTTTCAATTTCGATGGTTTGTTGGTATTTTGTCCTTACGGTTGAAACTTCGTAACACTTACATGTACGCAAGACAGTCAGGTTCATATTCGCTTCCGTTTTGTTTCCATAATTCTTCCACTAGTTTCGCTTACAGATCATGTTTCTCCCATCTGTAAAGCACATTCAGGTAACTTTGCAGTGTATTTTGTTTCGCTCTTTTTTGGCTTTCGACAATGAAATCGAAGACGTCTTCGACGTTTAGATGCTCTTTGGTTCTTTCAATATCTGAAACATTGGTTCTCATGTGCAAATTTTAAATTACAACCAATACCTTTAACCTTTTAAGTTGTATAACTATGGTTAAAGAAAACAATTTTGAGAATGGAGGCAATGAGGCGTAATATTCTTGATGCTTATAACCAACTCTTATGCTTCGTAGGTTCAGTAAAGCTTTCTGTTATTAAGAGTGACATCACAGATCAAAACGTTGATGCAATAGTGAATGCAGCCAACAGCAGACTCAGCCATGGTGCCGGAGTAGCAGGCGCAATCATCGACAAAGGGGGCTATGGTATACAGAAAGAGTCTGATAACTACATCTCTCGCTATGGACCCTTGAACGATGGTGAAATAGCCGTGACTGGGCCTGGCAAACTACCATGTAAAAAAATCATCCATGCTGTAGGTCCTATGTGGAAAAGATCGGAGCAAGAGAAATGTAAGAGAGCTCTAAAAATGGCTTGTTTGGGAAGTCTCGCGGCAGCCGCAGGCAACAAGAAGTGCAAGTCCATCGCCTTTCCAGCGATTAGCTCAGGACTCTTCGGCATGCCGAAAGAGATCAGCGCAAAAATCATGTTTGAAGCCGTGAAAGAATATATCACACGAGGAGATCCATCAAAGTTGACTTTGACCGATATTAGATTTGTGATCATCGATGATCCGACGGTGAAAGTATTCAGGAAAGAATTCATTAAGATCTTCCAAATCCAAAAAGATCAGTCTCAGGCGGCTGACCCAACGGCATTCAAAACTCCAAGATCAAAAAGGGGGAACAAGAAAGGAAAAGATAGGACGAATGATGTGAATGATCCTTTGACATCACATGTCGATTCGTCTTTGAAGTCTTTTAGTGATGCAGTGACAGGAAACAGACATGGGAATGTTCCTGACGGAAAAGGACCTCGGCCAGAATCGTCTGAAGGTATACCATGTTTCGTGAAATTAAATTTTTTATCTTGACGTAACTTATATTAGGCCTTAGTTTAATTTTTTTTTATTGTTTGAACTATGTCGACTCAGTGTAACAGTTTCATAAACAGATTGATTTATACCGGTGAAGATATTGCACTTAGATCTAAAAATGCCTAATAGAGCTATTGACGAATATTACTTTCAAAATTTTTCAATTGGCACTTTAAAGTGAGACAAGCTTTTTGGGTTCGCAGACTACTGTCTAAGTGAGCCGTCTCAATATTCGAATTGGATGATATCTCTCCCACCAGTTGGAATTTTAAACATGGTTATGGTTTACTTGTATTACTTATGTCGTTGGCGTTCGTCAACCCCCCTTCTACTGTAAAAACTGCTGAGCTATATCTGCAACAACGTTTATTTTTATTTTCATTGACTAGATTCTGTTCCAGGAGGTGGAAGTAAAGATGACAAATGCGCGATTTGTCTGGATGCGGTAAAAAATGCTAAAAAATTAAAATGTGGACACGCCTTCTGTACTCAATGTGTGGAGACTGCTTTGTCTTATGACAACCGCTGTCCAGTGTGTAAAGAACCGCAAGGTGTCGTCAAAGGAAATCAACCTGACGGACAAATGCACGTGCACCATAGTCACCACAGTCTTCCAGGCTATCACGGTAATTATGAAATAATCACACAAGGATTGGATCCTCTGAGAAATTTTGAAGTGATTTTGGGTTTGAGTTTTCTTCCCCCACATCTATATTTTTGGTTTCGCGTAGATTTTTTGATTGGGTTACGTTCGTTCCTGAAAATGGTTATTTTCGTCCAGGATATATTCATATTAATTGGTATATCACTAAGCTGTTAACACAAATCGATAAATCTGGTGAGGTTCCGTGATGAAGCGGAAATATCCGAGAATAGACCAAAATGCCCCAATAACCTAATGCTGTAAAATTTCTTCCACGAGCCTGTTAGAACTCTTTTTTTAAGACACTCACCGTAATAATTAAGGGTTTCCAAGCGCTTAAAATGATGGGGAAATATTTTGAGAGCTGGTATCTGTGCAGAGATGTGGATCATTACATACGGTGAGGTAAAAGACTTAAAGAAAAATCAGAAACAAGAATTGAAATGTAGATTTTTAAGTATTCAGAAACTAAGCTTTACTTTAAACTTCGAATTCAATATCTTCGCAGTAGCAGTCAAACCGAAACGATGTTAGGACTGATCGTTCTTCTAAAAGGCAAAACGAATCAAGTATCCATTCGGGTGTTTGAACTTTTGTTCCATTTCAACTTTCTTTGATGGTGCAATTCTCTTCGCAGGTTGTGGAACAATCACCATTACCTACAACTTTCCCTCTGGGATTCAAGGCCGGGAGCATCCTAATCCTGGTGAAAGGTACAGTAGTACCAATCGTACTGCATATCTTCCCGATAACCGAGAAGGGAAAGAGGTGTTGGCTCTTCTAAGGAGAGCCTTTGACGCCCGATTGGTGTTCACGGTGGGTACATCAGTATCATCTGGGTGTCGAAACCAGATCACGTGGAACGATATTCACCACAAGACTAGTAAATCTGGAGGGCCTCAGGCGTAAGTGACTCGTACAAATTTTTCTTCTTGAAAGATAATTCATTGAACTATAACGCTGTGTACTATGAGAAGCTTGAAAACTTGGAAGCCTCTCTGTTCTTCAGTTTCAATGCCTTTGACGCACAAGTCTTCCTTACTGATATTTTTCAATAACACGTAGTGCTCAGTTCACTTCTTAAACAATTGAACTGTTCATCACAGGTATGGTTATCCGGACCTAGATTATCTCCGACGGGTTAAAGAAGACTTGGCCGCCAAGGGAATTCGCTGATCCTGAGTAAGCGACGGCTCTCAAATGTTGAAGAAACGTTTGGGCACAATATAAAGACTGTAATGTCATCACCTGGGAGGATAGGACTCCTCTCATTTGACTAATATATCTGTATACTTTTAGTAGTTAGGTTGTACAAAAATCGACCCAAAAACAATAACAACAACAACAACAACAGCAATAGCAAAACTTAGCATCAAAACAATAACATGGCACAAATAGTTAGTGTAACTGCAACGAGTTGTGAATTGAAAGGCGGAGTATCATATTGACTGAAAAGGTGGCTGCTTTGATAGTTAGGTTAAGGATCACTAGAAACAAATTATGCTCTTTACGGCTGTTTAGAACACTGTTAAATGATATGTAACATAAAGTTTTCGGCTTTTTTATTTTGCGGTTGATTTTTCCCTTAGGTCGTTGAGAGAGGATAACTCTGCTTAGATTAAAGCAGTGAGCTTAATGTTCGCCATTATGGTTCTTACTTCTACTTCCTCACTTGACCCACAGTGTATACTTTTGTTGAAGGATATCTTTAAGAGAGGGAAACAGTTAAAAATGACAAAGCTCTGGGGATAAGTGAGATCGAAGGATGACTTTACTGTATCGTACATCGGCATCATCCCTTATGATGCCGTAGATCGGCAAAAGCGGGGGAAACTAGCTTATTGTAGCATGCCTGGCCTCACTTGATTTACACGTCTGACTTAATAACAGCTAGCTTAAACAAAGGTACCATTTTTTACGGTTTCGGCTCTTAATGTTGTCAAAGTTTTCACTTCATTGTATTTCTATTTCTTGCACAAATTCTCAGGCACATGTTGGTTAACAAAACTGCCGGAGTTATAAATCTTACATGGACCCAGTTATTCAAAGGATGGAAAGCGATCTCCAGAGAATGACTGGCAATCCAGTGAATGGATTCCTTTGTTTTTAGGTTACGTATTTAATCGGTGCACAAAGATATAAAACCGTTAAAC